ATACATGTTTAGTATTGTAGTAGATGTTGATATTTTTCAATATAAACTTGGTCGAACTTTATGAAGTTTGACTTGAGACGAATCAAACCAATATCATTAGGTGCATCAAGGAATTAATTTTCATATTATACATGTTTAGTATTGTAGTAGATGTTGATATTTTTCAATATAAATTTGGTCGAACTTTATGAAGTTTGACTTGAGACGAATCTTATATACAGCAGAGTAAAAAGATACCAGAGGGAGTACAGCTGTTTCTTCGATGGCCATGGCGTGACAATTGACAAATCTACTTTGTTTCCTCTACATGTCCTGTACGAGGGAAGCAAAACTTCTGTATGGCCATGGCGTGACAATTGACAAATCTACTCCACTTTGTTTCCTCTAGATGTCCTGTACGAGGGAAGCAAAACTTCTCTTCTGACACACACTGGACGCCTAAGATTGCATCTCCAGCTTATGATTGTATCACGCTGGAGGCCTAAGATTGCGTCTCCAGCTTATGATTGTATCAGACACAGGCGCATACAACATTACATAACGTTAAAATTCTTCGGACATAACAGCGAACATTATCATGTCCCGGAGACGTCAGGCAAGGAAATTGTTAGGAGATTCACCTCCATATTTAAAACTGTGCTGCAAAAGCTACAAAACCTCGATGTTACAAACCGTCTCCATCTAGCTTTATTCTGTGAGAGTAAAACAGAGGCACACACATTTTTGGACACTATAAAAGACACCACCGCCATGTCTAAATGACTCGAGTCACAAACGCCTATCAAGTCAGGCACATCAGTCCGGAGCCTCAGATCGCCTCGCTGATGACAAGGTTGATGCCGAAGGACGCCGTGCAGAGGATCAGCCCGATGATCGCCAAGAAGTTGAGCCCCCTGCAGAGTTCACCAAAGCGAAAAGGAAATCACCAAGATCAGAATCACTTCTATAAGAGGATGACTTAAACATGGACAACAAGGATATGAAATTCGTCGATGCTAATGCAATTCAGGCTCATCGATGCGTTATTCGGCGTCATAAGCTGCAAATTTGGTTCAAGTCAACCATTTTTCATACTCAATCCAGAGCTCACGACTTTGCTCCTCGTTATCGTTTATAAAACCTAAAACCGGGGTGGGGTGGTTGACATAGGACAGAAGCTTAGGTAGGATTTTATTTATTTTTGACCCTGAGAAGCTTAGGTAGGATTGCAGCATCACATCCAATTAACAATGTCCTACTTTGCAATGCAATGTGAATGAATCTCACCTACCAACCAAGGCCTTCCTTCACCTGCAGCAATGGCCCGTGTCAATTCAGAAAAAAGACGTGCAGTGCAGGCAAGCAGTAGTGGGGTGCTAGCTAGCTGTTAGCTGCTGGGGCCTCAGCCAAAATTGGGAATGAAGAATTGGAGACAAAAGGCATCTCTCTGTGCGTATGCAGGAGGTTGAAGAAACACTTCAAAGCCACTCCAGGTCGTCGGTGAGAATCAATGGAGCCGCGCTCATTATGAGCACACCTTTGACATGGCTTGGTTAGTGGAGCAATACCAAGTTGAGCCCTGCTCTGCCCGCTCACCTTATTAATGAGTTGAGTGTGGTTGACTAATACTGTGCCATCCTATTAATGAAATCAAATGGCTTGTAGTATAGTAATTCCTAGGACTGAGAATTTCCTAAGAAACTAGCAGTAAAACATGCTGGAAATCAAGGGGATCTCTCCCCAAGGATTTGATTTGGATGCCATTATCATCTGAATCATCTGCAGAGTTGTTCATCGCTGAGCAGAGCAAAAGGCAAACGTACCCAAGCTTGAGGCGGTTGTCCGGGACGCCGGTGGCGTAGCCCTTGAAGTAGAAGAACCTGGCGACTGTGTAGAGGACCCCCAGCGCGGCGGCGACCACCGGGTGCTGCAGGCCACCGAGCAGCACCGTGACGAAGAAGAGCGGCATCATCTCCAGCGAGTTCTGGTGCCCCCTCTGCAATCCCACAGCACAAACCCACAAGAATTCAGTCAGTCAACTCGCTCAAATAGCACACACGAAATCAGCAGGACAGAGCAGGGCAGGGAGGGAATCTGGCCGGCGGCGGCGGACCTGGACGCAGTTGAAGCGCTTGGCGTCCTTGTTCTCCGACTCGATGGCGTACAGCGTGGGGTAGAACACCTTGTACCTGAAACAAGCGGCAGGATCGCCGAAGCTCCATGAAACTCTCCAAGAATCAGATCAAGAAGCAGAGCACGGGGCAGAGGCGGCGGGGAATCGTACTTCTTGCGGGCGGCGCCGACCTGGAAGCTCATCCAGAAGTTGAGGAAGGCGTAGGCCACCACGGTGAGCACCACGTAGCCGTACTCCTTGGTCAGCTCCACCAACACCGCCATCGTCGTCGACCTTCTTCTTCTTCTTCTCTGGAGTTTCTCTGGATTTTCTTCCTTCCTTCCTTGGAAACGAGATTGGATGGGAATTGGGGATGGAGCGGAGGTCTGTCTTATAGAGAGAGAGTGGAGGGCTCTAGAGAGGTCTCAGAATAAGTTCCTGCCCTCCGGCCCAAGAAAGCCTGGACCGATTCGCTCCCTCGGGCCCATCTCGGACACGCCACCCACCCAATGGGCCAGCGAGCGCGTACTCCTAATTACTTTCCCTTTTTCCCCGTTCTGTCCCTAACTTTTTCCAGCGAGGCATTGGAGATATTCCAGACGCCTTTTTTGGATAAAAATATTTCCAGACGATAGATAGTAAGTATTGAGTGCTTACTATAATTTGGAATGAACGCGTTTAATTGTTTTTAGAATTTTCATGTTCGATTTGACCTGGAGAGAGCTTTACCTGGCGTCACGCGTGACGTCTCCCTGGACGTCGCCATTGGTATCATCGACGTCTCGAAATCTTGTTATAATTTTCATTATGTTTGAGATGCTTTGTATTTTTATGAATTCTGATAATAGATGTGGATCCTTTTTGTAAAAAGTGTGCTTTCCAATGAACACGAGGACTAAGATGGGTCACTGAAAATGCTTAAAAGGAAGGGATCATCGTCATCGTAGGAGAGAGGCATGAACTTACCATCACCAGAAATACTAAGAGCATAGTATTAGCAAAATAAAATAAAATTAAATAATAAGAACAAACACATTTTGCCTGACAGGCAGATACTCCCTCCTTCCATCTATATAGGGCCTAATGTATTTTTTAAGACCGTCTTTGACTATTGACAAGATTAATAGTACATGACATGCACAATATGAAAATTATATCATTGAAAGCTTAATCTCTCTCTTACACACACAATCCCCTTATCACCTACTACTTATATAAAAACGTAAGGGCAACTTCAATGTAGATCATCAAATCGCTCTAGATGTTTGGATCTGATGGTTTGAATATTTTTGCCATCTAAAGACGATCATAAAAAATGTCTAGAAGTGGAACCAAACGCAAGGGGGTTTTCGAGCATTCGGACCTGCGTCACATCAGAATCCGACACGCCCGGCCCACCCGGAGCCCACACACTTGGATATTTCTACCATTGTTTCGACGCCAAAGCATGTCCTTTCCCACAACCTCCGCCTTGATCGCCACTTCCCCACCGTTTCAGTCTGTTCCACCCTCGCCATGGAGCCATTGTAAGAGAACCCGATGAAGACGCTCGTCGTTCCGCCGGAGTCCGAGGACTCGAACGTGGTGGCCGCCCGCAAGGCCATGTCGCCGGAACGCAACGCCCACCGCCACACAGCAAAGAAGCAGGCAGGCGCGCGTCGACGACTGACCAACGCGAACCTCGCCCAACAAAGCACACCACCACCCTTGTGCCACCCGGGCAATAGACGGTGCAGTCGTCCCAACTATAGACGCCCTACTACTACGCCTCCGAGCACCTCGGTCATCAACAATCACCGCAACAATGCTCATCCTCTCTCACCTTCGGCCATCGAGTCCCGTTCACCATCAACCTCAACATTAACTATGTCTTCACGGTGTTGCAGTCGCCGGGGCTTGTCTAGTCGCGGATGCCGACCATGGACCGTTGGCGTTGGTGCCCGGTCATCGTTTACCGCAATGCCTCATCGAAGCGGGATAATGAGGCGATGAGATCATGGCTGTTTCGGAGGACTACAAAATGTTGTTCGTGATGACGTCGGACTTGGAGTCCGATGCGGCGCAGATTGTCCAAGCCTACTTATGAGCATATTGAAGCGCTTCGCGCAAACGGAGGATGTCAAATCAACCAAGAATGAGGTCTTTGCCAAGAAAAAGGTCATTGGCATGAACATCCAAAGTGACAATTTTTGAGATCGATTGGATGTAAATATTTATTGAACATGCGGTGTTTTTTGGTTGTGATTGTATACTTTTACCACTATTAAACGTATGATTAAATTTGACATGCAGAAAAGGAAATCGCTGGCAGGTAGTTCAGGGCGTGGAAAACTGGAAAGTGAGTGAACGATCGACCGAGCTGTTCGTAATAAATCATAGAAATGGAAGACTACTCTGCATCCGCTGTTTAGTCATATTGTCTGATATCCTTGTTCTTCAGATGTGCAGCAGGTAGTGGAGTTAGAACTGACTTTTAATTTGGTCTTTCTCATTGCCGGTTCAGCCGTTTACATCAGCAAAATCATCCAGCAGTGTAGAACTGCAACCAGCCGGCCAGAGTGTGCATCACATTTTCAGGTCTAGCGGTGGATCACCAACCAGTGCGTGCTTTCTGATGAACACGACGACTAAACGAGTCACTGAAAATGCATAAAAGGGAGGAAAAAATTGTCGTCGTCGTAGGCAGAGACATGAACTTGAACTTCCCATTCATCACAAATAATAAGAACGAACACAATCCGTCAGAGTCAACACAGCACACGAAGATAGTCGTCAAACACTCACACAAAGTCCCATTATCACCCACAGCTAGCTAGAACTGCAAACCAAACCAACCCTCATGGCGACCAAATGCAACAGAGGAGAGCCTAACTTTTCTTGAGCTTGATAAACATGGCGGTGCAGGCGGTCAGGCGGCGTTGACGACCATCTTCATCCCGAAGTTGCAGTGGTAGAAGCGGGTGCACATGAAGCGGTTGGCGCCCCTGGCCAGCGTGACGGCGTCGTTGCCGGACTCGTAGGTCCTCGACCCCGCCGGCGTGGTGCACCCGTTGTACCCGTCCTCGCCCACCGCCACCACGTTGTGCATCAGCGGGTTGTACTTGAACACTGCGCGACCGCGCCCAGGAAAGAAGAGAACCGTCAGAAACCTTCGGCGCAGACCAGAACGCAAGATGTGTGCGTTAGGTTTTCACTTACCGAGGACGTCGCCGGCGCGGAACTGCTTCCCGTTGGGCCAGCTCCCGCTGCTGAGGGACCAGCCGCCGACGTCGCCGACGTAGTAGGTGGCCGCGCTGGCGACGCCCGCGCAGCAGCACGCGACGGCGAGCGCCGCGGCGGCGACGGCGACGGCGCCTCGCCTTGCACCGCCTCTTCCCCCGGCCATCTCGCTAGCCACCAGCCGGAGCGCTTTCACCTCAAAGGAACTGGTGAGTGGCGATGCAGGCGAAGCAGGGCGCTCACAAATGAAGGTGGCGATGCTGTGAAGTAGAGCCAGCGGCAGCGAGCTGAAGGTGAAGGGAAGGGGAGCGTGGCGCAGCTGGCCGGTGGCAGGGCAGGCCGCCTCGGGGCGCGGGAGCGCAGTACAATCAATGCTCGTAGCGTGGCGTCGCAGGAGGCCGCGCAGTGTATGGCTTCAATGCGGCATAGGACGCGAGCCCGTGATCGCACCAGGACCGGTCAGCTACATGCACGGACAAGTGTAACATTCATGGCATCGATGCCGGCCTACTGTTGTTTGCCGAATTCCGTATTCAAAGAGCCGACCAAACGCTAGACGACCGAGCTAGCGACGAACAGGGCCGCGCATTAGCTAGTTTTACTGCAGTGCTTTCTGTAGGTTTTCTTCCGTTTTGGGGAGCCTTCTATAGGGTTTCCGGACCTGTTTTGTTGGTTGGTTTCTTTTACTGGTTTTTCGTTTTTCTTTTCTTTTCATTTTATCATAAATTCGAAATTTCGAAAAATGTTGAAAATCATCAAATGTCACTTAGAATTTTAAAAATATTCATTTTTTAAAATATGTTCAGAATTTTATTTTAGAAAATCGAAAAATTAAAAACCTTCAACTTTTTCAAAAGTTTCAAAAGATATTCGTCAATTTTAAAAAGTGTTCACGTTTTTCTAAAAAAATCAAGGTTTTAAAATATGTATCGAATTTCAAAAATTGTTCTTAATCGTTTAAGTTTTTTATTTTTTTAAATGCTCATTTTTTTCAAAAATCTGCTTTTTAATTTTTTCCATGTTTTTAAGAAAACGTTCAAACATATTCGGAATTTGATTTTTTTAGAAAAAAATCAAATATTGTTTGTGCTCTCAAAAACACTTCGAATTTTTTTATATGTGTTTTTAAAAAAATGTTCATGTAATTCAACCACATGCAACTATGCTACGACACCATGCTACGGTAGCCGCTAGTAGGTCGGCCCGGTTGGATCACCCTATGCACCCCGCTACTACTGGATGCAACAAGCAACATATAGGGGTTCCCATTGTTTGCCCCGAGTAGAGAACACCTTAGTTGCTATGTGTTGGGCTCTCCTTCTGTTTTTAGAGAGAGAAGGCATTGGGCTCTCTCCTACCAGATAGAGAGAGATTAGCGTTGTACACTTGTATAGTAGTTCTACCGGCCGGCCGCCACCGTTGTTTGAGAAATTTAGGTCCCCTCGCCTCCGGCCGCCATCTTGGCGCTGAGAGGTGGGGGGACCTGGGATCTTCAAGACCTCCATGTCTTTTGCCATCGTCTAGTGATCATAATAGTTTTGTGAGAATAAATTTTCTCTTGTTCTTTTGGCGGTGCCATGAGATTAGAGAGTTTTTTGTCCTCACAGATGTGTTATTCAGATCTGATGAGTTTATGTTGTTGGTCTGATTCTTTGTGGAGGTGAAAACCTTAATCGACACCATGTGAAGATATAGTGATTCATCGGCCTGCACTTATAGGGGATCATCTCTGGCCAAGTACGTACATCGATCAAGGCTTCCCATCTTTTTTGGTGGGCGACTCAAGGCGCTTTCAAAAACCATTAGTGGTAATGTTCTTGTGGATGAAGGAGTGACAACATTGTTGGTCCAGTCCAATTGCAGCCTCTTACCGAAATCTTTGGAGTATTTCTTTGAGCAGAGATTGATGTCATGAACAATGTGTTTTCAAGAGATTTCATTATAATTCTTAGTCATAGGAGTTACTTTGTATTTTTTTGAATGTTAGGTCCAAATCAGTGTACCTGCAATTGTTACATTTATATTTGATATGTTTTCACGTGTTGGATTTCTAACATTGAGATCTTTGAAACTAGATCGCATGTCAATAGATTTTGACAAACTATTTTTCACGAAAAAAAACCCATAGGCGGAAGCAAGTTCTATTTTTCTACTTTTTTTCCTTTTTGAGAAGCACATATATGTGTCTGCACGAGATATTAGGGTCCTTGGCGAACTAAAACGATTGATCGGTCTCTCTCCCTCTCAGCGGATCGCTAGATATTAGGGTTCCTGTTTTTAGTCCAGATAGTATGATATAAAATTTGTCTTAAGTCAAACTTAAGACAAACTATTTTTCACGGAAAAACCCATAGGCGGAAGCAAGTTTTATTTTTCTATCTTTTTCTTTTCTTTTTGAGAAGCACATATATGTGTCTGCACGAGATATTAGGGTCCTTGTGGCGAACTAAAGCGTTTGATCAGTCTCTCTCCCTCTTGGCCGATCGCTAGATATCAGGGTTCCTGTTTTTACTCCAGATAGTATGATATAAGATTTGTCTTAAGTTAAACTTCCTAAAGTTAGATCAAATTTGTAGGGAAAGTTGTCAACATTCACACTACCAAATCAATGTCATTCGATGTATCATAGATTTAACTTTCATATTGTATATCTTTAGTGTTTTAGATAGATATTGTTATTTTTCTAAATATAAACTTGATCAGACTTTACGAATTTGACTTTAAACAAAACTTACAGACAGAGTAAAAAGAAATGGAAGGAGTGTCACAAAGGACACAACAACTCAAAATTCTGGTATACAAGCATTAAAGCACGTACAACCGGAACGACAGAGTATATTAATCTCTCTCTAGCTAGTGCCAACCGGCCAGACGGCCCAACCCCCACGAACTCGGGCATTTTATTGAACACGTACTACGCACCATGCAGTAGCTTCGGTCACTCGAGGATGGAAAGTAAACTAAAGTTAATTAATAAGCACCGGCCGGCCGGCGGGGCGATGGACGACGGAGAGACGGATCATGCGGCGGTGACGGCCATCTTCATGCCGGCCTGGCAGTGGCCGGGGACGCTGCAGATGAAGTAGTTGGTGCCGCGGGCGAGCGTGACGCGGTCGCTGCCGGAGTTGTACGTCCGGCCGCCCCTCGCCGCGCTGCACGACTTGTACCCCGCCGCGTTCACCGCCACCACGTTGTGCGCCCCGCGCCCGTACTTGAACACTGCACGCAGGTACAAACACCATGCCACAGTCAGTAAAGTTAGCACAAAAATGCACAGCAGCAGGACTGCGGCAGCAATTAATCCTTTGGTGCGCAAAACTGGTGTGGCGTTTCCCGACTCGTCGCAGTGAAAAGTCACTCTTTTTCACAGCAGTGGAGCACTGAGGCGCGCATGCGTCTCTTGGCAGGGACAGCGACCCAGCAAGCATGCACGACCCACAGTGCACGACGTACTCTTGCCACAGACATGTTACGTCTGCTCTACTGAGGGCAACGGGACCCTAGCTATGCTTGCCGTGATCGAGCTCGTAGCGTAGTACGAGACGAGAGCGAAGCAAAAACTCGGAGGCTGGAAGAAAGTGTAATTAAGGTGGCACGCATGGGAGGGGGGGGCGAGCACTCACGCAGCACGTCGCCGGCGCGGAAGCGCTTGCCCCTGGGCCAGCCGCCGGAGCTGAGGGCCCAGCCGGCGCGGTCGCCGACGGTGTACACCTTGGACTCGGCGAAGTCGCCGTGGAGGAGCACGCAGAGGAGGAGCAGCGCGAGCACGGCGGTCGCACCGCCGCTTCCCTGCGCCATGGCTAGCTACTGAGCAGCTCGGGAAGGGAGGTGCAGGAGCAGAGGAAGTGAAGACTAGGAGGAGTGGAGGCTTGGGTGTGTGATGGTGCTCGGGGCCTCCTTTTATAGCCGGCCGTGTCCGCGGCCGCCGTGCCAGCGCATGGCGAAGACTGAGAGGCCAAGAGTGTGGCTGCTACCACACGGGTTGCCATACCGGCGCGGCGCGTGTGAACGTCGAGCCATCGTGGTGCAGTGCCGGTGTGAGTCCTAGGGTAGAGCACTAGAGCCCACACCGGGCATAGCTTCCTTGCTGGGAAAGTTGGTGGTCGTAGAGGAATTTACTTCGGTTGAAACCGGCCAACCACCCCAACATGGAAGTGGCCATACCTTACTATAGTTCACTAGCAGGGGCAATGGATTGTGAAGTTAGTAAAGCGAGCGTGGAAAGCGGTGAGTGAACGCTGCTGCCGAACGCTGATCGATGGGAGAGGAGAGGAGGACGGAGACCCGGTCGACGGGGAGCTAGCTAAGCTAAGCTAGGGGACGCCGAGCTGTTTCGCTGTCTGTCGGAGGCCGTCCGGTACGCTTCCATTTCGATCATGCGTGCATGCTTCGACCTTCGAGTTAGGTCAAGTGGATTCAAGTGGTTAGGTCAAGTGGATTCGGTGAGTTGAACCGGGAGGGGAGGTCAGTCATCCTTAATCTCAGGGTTGAACGTAGACACACTTACTGCATGCAGTTGTGTTCAAGCTAGAGCTATGGCATGCACAGTTAAATGTAAGTGAATGTTTTTTCTTGCACTGCAGCACGCATGCAGCTACAGGTAGGCATGTGAAGTACTCCCTCCGTCCCAAAAATTTTGTCTTAAATTTGTCTAAATATGAATGTATCAAGTCACGTTTTAGTATTAGATACCTCCGTATCTAAATAAATTTAAGACAAGAATTTTGTGACGGATGGAGTACTCCGTACTGGTGCGCCAGAAACACAGCAAGAGCTCAATGCGGAATTAAAAGCTCCGCATCAGTCATCACGTTCGCCAACTACTGCGACTTGCTTTCAACATACTCCTCCTTCCACAAACCTAATTTTGTTCTCCACGTTCGCAAGAGTATTTTTCTTGCAAGTACTCCCAGCACTTCCGTTTTCGTGGTCATTGGAGTGCGAAGGCGCCGAAGAAATCGCGCATGCAAGCCCGGCCTGGGTCAACCCGTACGTGTCCCCGAGGTCTCTCTAGTAGCTATGAGTTTCGTCAATTTTCAAATCACAATGGAGGCAAGCGGTTTGGGCGCACTTCCATAACGTACGCCAGCGGCGTATCTATGGTTGAATGTTTGGCTCCAGAAAACGAGAGAGAGAAAAAAGAGATCAGAAAGCAAGTCATGTGATCATGTCTGAATTTTGGGGTTCTGTCTGAAGCAGCTACGCGTAAGAACCGAACCATGTTCAGGAATTTCGTAAAAGCGCACTCGGGTAAGGTAGACGGTAGTAAGAGCAATGGGGCCCGGAGTCGCCGGCGCCGACCTGATGTCTGACAAAACAATGGACACGACAAGAAGATTGCGTCTGGGTTTTACACCGTTCAGGTCAACATTGCACAAGTTGAATTCAAACTTCTGTACATGTCGATCAACTGTGTTTCAGAACTTGAATATTACTCCTACATAGGATGCCTGAGTGCCTTTGTTTTTCAGGCATATAAATGCCTGGCTGCCTTTCTTACAGAAAGATGCGCAAGTTTTTGCATATTGTAGACACAAATATTTTTCTTTTTGAAACCGAAGTCTTTAGGCTCAATCTACTAATTAAGCACACAAGATAGTTGTCTGGTTAATTAACGTAAAGATTGGTGTAAATCATCACAAGACTGGGCACACACAAGATACATCACACACACACACACAGCTGTGAAGAAAACCTCGCCGAGGTTGCACATTGACACAATGTCATCGTCATCACTTCTCCTCGAGCAAGCGGCTCCGACTTCACCGCACGCGATCGTGGACTATGCCCACAAAAGAAAGGTGGTGGGAAGCCATATGAAGAGCCATGGCAAACAATCAGTCACCAGTGTCGGTGACAAGACATCTTCGATTCTGACAGTGAGCTACGAAGGAAAACTATGTCAAGCTGGTGCCATGAAAGATCACACATCACCATCGCCACCTACACCCCATGGCCGCAGCTCCGACATGTCCAGGGGGGTGTTGCTCGATCGGCTACAGGGTTTTTGGGAGCGTGGTGCCAACCCCATGATGGGGTCACGGGCCCGATGATTGTTGAAGATTTGGCTCTCCAAGACGGCGTCCATTTTGCAAAGATCAAAGGCTTCGCTAATGTCGTCATGGATGGACTGCTTGCAGGTTGTTGAATTTTGGAATATACGCCATAATTCGCGTACGGTGGTGGCTCCTATTCTCTTGGAAATAGGGGACTTAGGTCATCCCAATGCAGACCCTCAAATACCCTGCAACCGTTGGGATCGAGCTATCTGAATGCATTCTGCCATCCAAATTGGACCCTGTTTATCCGCGGACACGTCCGCTTGTCCATTTTCCCGCAATCGGGAAGCAAACTTGTCGGAGCATTGCGAGAGTACGGACATCAACATGATGAACTAAAAGCCACCACGTGCCCTTCTCCACTCTTCGTTTGTGCAAGGCCGCTCCTATTCGAAAGTTGACTCGCGGGGAGGGGTACAGATCATGGGGGACAACTCTCCGAATCACGAGGAACAAATCTCTCAATCACAGGGAACAACTATTATCAGAAGGAACAATTCACATAGAGAAGGGATTCAAGAGAGTGAGAAACAACTCTCTAAATCACATCAAACAACTCTCACAATCACATGAAACAAATCTTTAAATCACAGGGAACAACTATTACTAGAATCACAGGGAACAATTCACAGGAAGAAGGGATTCAAAAGAGTGAAGAACAACTCTCTTGATCCCCAGGAACAACTATCACAATCACCAGAAACAAATCTCTCAATCACGGGGTAAACTATTATTAGAATCACACGAAACAATTCACAGAGAAGGGATTCAAAAGAGCGATGAACAACTCTCTCAATCACATGGAACAACTCTTTCAATCATCAGGAATAACTCTCAAAATCCCCAGGAACAAATCTCTCAATCACAAGGAACAATTCACAGAGAGAATGGATTTTTAAGAGTGAGGAATAACTCTCTCAATCGCATGGAATAATTCTCAGAATCACCAGGAAAAAAATCTCTCAATCACAGGGAACAACTATTATTAGAATCACAAAGAACAATTCACAGAGAGAAGGCATTCAAAAGAGTGAGGAACAACTCTCCCAATCGCATGGAACAACTCTCTCAATCGCCAGGAACAACTCTTACAATCTCCAAAAATAAATATCTCAATCACAGGGAACAATTATTATTAGAATCAAAAGGGAAAATTCACAGAAAAGGGATTCAAAAGAGTGAGGAACAAATCTCTCAATCACAAGGAATAACTCTCACAATCACATGAAACAAATCTCTAAATCACAGGGAAGAAATATTACTAGAATCACAAGGAACAATTCACAGAAAGAAGGGATTCAAAAGAGTGAGGAACAACTCTCTCGATCGCCTGGAACAACTATCACAATCACTAGAAACAAATCTCTCAATCACAGGGTATACTATTATTAGAATCACACAGAACAATTCACAGAGAAGGGATTCAAAAGAGCGAGGAACAACTCTCTCAATCACATGGAACAACTCTTTCAATCACCAGGAACAACTCTCACAAGCACCAGAAAAAAAAATCTCAATCACATGGAACAACTATTAGAATCACAAGGAACAATTCACAGAGAGAATAGATTCAAAAGAGTGAGGAACAACTCTTTCAATCGCATGGAATAACTCTCACAATCACTAGAAAAAAAATCTCTCAATCACAGGGAAAAACTATTATCAGAATCACAAGGAACAAATCATAGAGAGAAGGGATTCGAAAGAGTGAGGGACAACTCTCTCAATCACATGAAACAACTCTCTCAATAGCCAGGAACAACTTTCACAATCTCCAGAAACAAATTTCTCAATCACAGGGGAACAACTATTATTAGAATCGGAATGGACAATTCGGAGATAAGGAATTCATAAGAGTGAGGAACAAGTGTCCCGATCACCAGGAACAAATCTCTCGATCACATGGAACAATTATTAGAATCACAAGAAACAATTGACATAGAGAATTGATTAAAAAGAGTGAGGAACATCTCTCTCAATCACATGCAACAACTATCACAATCACCATAAACAAATCTCCCAATCACAGGGAACAACTGTTATTAGAATCACAGGGAACAACTGTTATTAGAATCACAAGAAACAATTCACAGAGAGAAGGGATTCAAAAGAGTTAGGGACAACTCTCTCAATCACATGGAACAACTCTTTCAATCATCAAGAACTAATCTCACAATCATAATGCACAACTCTCAATCCCAAGTTGTTATTGTTGTTATTGTTGTTGTGTGTTTTTACAGAAGCAGGGTAGCAATGTCGGTGTCAAAACTAGTTGATCTCGGGTAGGGGATCCCGAACTGTGCGTCTGAGGATCGAAGGTAACAAGTGACACAGGGAACACGATGTTTACCCAGGTTCGGGCTAAAGGAAATATGCCCTAGAGGCAATAATAAAGTTATTATTTATTTCCTTATATCATGATAAAAGTTTATTATTCATGCTAGAATTGTATTAACCGGAAACATAATACATGTGTGAATACATAGACAAACAGAGTGTCACTAGTATGCCTCTACTAGACTAGCTTGTTAATCAAAGATGGTTATGTTTCCTAACCATGGACAAAGAGTTGTCATCTGATTAACAGGATCACATCATTAGTTGAATGATTTGATTGACATGACCCATTCCATTAGCTTAGCACCCGATTATTTAGTATGTTGCTATTGCTTTCTTCATGACTTATACATGTTCCTATGACTATGAGATTATGCAACTCCCGTTTGCCAGAGGAACACT